TACACTCAAGAATCCATTTTGGGAATGGGTCTTATCCAGGAAGCCCTAAAGCCATCCGGACGTGTTCTGGAGGACATATACAAAGTTAATAATTCGACAATGAGTGTTGCAAGGTGTTCGGCACAGGTTTTCAATAAAATGGGGACTAATGAGTCCGGTCCGTGGGCCTTCTTAGACTTAAGTTGCTTCAAAACTTTGGAAACCTCAGTAGGAGGAAAAGGGTTGATGATTTTAAGGGAATTGAGGCGGACAGTAGAGAATTGGAATCAGGAGAAGCAGAAAATTGCCGATTTAATTTATCTACGTTGGGACAGGAGCTCCCGCGTACGCCACAGAGTTGCTTGAACGCCGACTATATCTGGCGACAGCTCGGGTTGCCCGGAACGGTCTCGACATACATCCAATTTAAGCACTGAATCTCTTCCTTGACGAGAATCGATGGTCGTTCAACATCCTTGCGCCTACCATACATATATCCCTTCTCATTATCTTGGTGTACAAGTTTTAGAAACGGTGGTCCGGTGGTAACGTCACCAAATTACCACCTTGTAGGACGTGTGTTCGAACCCCACCACTATCGCCTGACTTTCCACATGATAGCCCTTTTATTGACCGCTTCCCCCTTCGTGAATATTTTATCATTGTGTATTCAATAAAAGGAAGTAAAATTTAAAAAAAATATATACAGCCTCGATGGAGCGACACAAATCTAAACAGAAATTAGGAGAGCCGGGGAGATATTTTAATTTCGAAGAATTATTGTAATTCGAGAAAACGGAACAATCAGCAGGTGATATCATATCTAAAAGCCCAGTTCGATCATCGGGGATACCATTCCACCTTTGTATTGTCCAGGTCTCTACCTGTGCTTGTTGAACATGATAAATTTTTACCATAGATTTATGGTGTAAAAGAATTGTAAAGCAGTCGAATATGTTCATACGGGCTCTTTTTCCCTAAAGAAAACCTAGGGAATATTTAAAAAATGGTGTCAAGCTGGGCCTCCAAACCAGTGGTAAATTGCACGAGATTAATCAAACCTAAACTTCTTAAAAACTAAATATCAAAACGAATAAAATCACCGTCGCAATGTACAAGATCTGGTCTAGGCCCGTCATGAATCGTGTAGAGGGAGAGTCGGAAAACATTCGGATATCAGAAATAGGTGTGTCAGGGGCAATGCAGATGTTTGATAGCATGATATCAAGGGATTTATTAAGAAAGCGGTGTTTTCATTGAACGGCAATGCAGTTGATTTTTCCAGTATTTAAATGAAACAAAAGATGAGAGTTGTTACACAACATACGTTTGGCAAAAGTAACTACTCCACACTTATTATTAAATTTCACAATCTAATGATCTCGAAAGTTATCAGACCCATGAATCCAGACAATACCATCCTGAATTTTGGGGTGTAACCGACATTCCTGGAGTATATAAATACCCAAGCTTTTGCATACATTTCATGTATTTCACTCGTAATTTCATCCATTTTTTCCATAAGTGGACGGATGTTACTGTTGATGGAACGCCGCTTAAGCTCGACTCTCCACCGGCACGATGTTTTGTTTGCAATCATTGTCCCTTCTTCCTCAGCGAATTGTTGGGATTTTTCACACAATGCACAAAAGAAGAAAATTGGTGGTCATGGGGGATCAAACGCAGGGAAGTCAAAAATATGCTACCGTAGGACAGCATGTGACCTTGAAAGCTCAATGAATCGATTCAACGAACTATATAGAGAAGACGACGCAATTTTACACTCTAAAATCACGAAAATATCGCATGATAGTATAGGCACGGTCGAACCTGAAATCCCCACCAAAAATGATATGCACTTTCTGCCCAATACAAATAATTTTCAAACGTTCTACTTTGGGCGCGGGTGGTAGAGCGATCAGGCCCATCAACTCATCGATTAGGAAGTCCTTTTTTCAATCACCATCATGATTACCTTACGTTCCCCTAGTCTTGGTGACATATGACGAGCCTTGGATCGTCCACTTCCTCTTTCCTGAAGTTTTTTGTGCGATTACGAATTCAATAAAAAGAGAACTGAAGATCTAAACGATCTCCCGGTCAATGCTGTCCTTTTTGCATCTCGCAACAACAGCCTTGTCACCCATAGGTTTATGAACATAAGCGTTCATTAATCAACTTTGGCTACACACTGTATATTAAATTTTGTTTTCCGATAATATTTCATTTTGAGTGATGGAAAGCAAATTCTAACTACTTAGTAAATTAAACTTTTTCAATGAGATAATTATCATTACAACTCAAAACCTCCAAACATATGTGTCAATTAAATCAAAAATTACTCTGCGGTGTAAAACTTAATACTGTGGCATACGGAGAAGTTTATCATCTTCGAATAGGCAATGCGGTCAGAGTTGTTCGCGTCACATTGACGCAGTTTTTGTTCTCAGTTTCATGGAAACACTTTGAAGTCGAAAGCTGACAAACCGCAGTAGTTTTTGGCCTTCATTTTAAACAATTTTAAACAACTTTATAAGTATGAGTTTTACTTTTTATTTTGTCTTCTGGTATAGAATATCCGGTTTTCCATAGCATCATGTCACTTAGATCGATATTCAATAATTGGTGATACTATCGTGCATTGATAGATCGGGTTCCGGGCACTGACCGGGTAAACGGCGGTTTGTCTTCCAGGAAGTCTAGGTTGATCAGTTCAATGCTGATTACCTCATACAGAAGCGCTCGGGGACCATTTCAGCATTGAGAGTACAATGAACAAATTGTACCAAACCCCAAAGAATCAACGCGCATATAGAGGTATATTGCCGTTCGCATTTAACTCAAAGTTACTTGTGAGTAACGGATAATCATCTGTGTTTCCCTTCGTTGTTGGTGGGCCGAATGAACTGACTGACTATCACTGAAGACGACACGTAAACAAAAATGAATTGGCAATTCGGTTCGACCATGGTATGAGCTGGTTGGCACAGTGGTAATGCATACGCCTTCCATGCGAAGGGTCAAATCCCGGACGGAGAGGTGGATATACACTACTGATGAGCTCTACTAAGAGCGAAACTCGAGTCCAGTACTTCCGAGTTTGTGGTTGAATCGATGAACTGAGGATTGTGCGTGAATGTAAAGTTTAAAGGATAGTCATTTCAAATCACTCACTATATTGCAGTGTTTTTGACTGCGGCATGTGTTATGTTCCCATTTCCTTTGCAGATACCTAGCGGTATTGGCATGAGCTGGACTGAACTGGAAGCGAGTGTGTTTGCCACAGTGTTCGAGTCAAATTTACGGTGGAACTGTTAATGCATAAGATACATGCAGTTGTATGTGTATGTGTGTGTATGTTCTCAAAATGACGATTCAGTTGTTATGCTGTTGAAAAAGATATGTATGTTGCACTCCTGTGAGTTGGAAATTCGCAGAACAACCTTGCAGTTTTAATGAAAGAAAGACCTAGTAGGATATGTTCATGTTTTTTACCACAGTCTTCACTACCAGAAAACGTAAAAACAACACTATACCAATTCTTTCTGAGTCTATTTTGTTCTCCTCAAAACGCTACAATGAAACAAAAGAGGGAAACTTGAAACCTTATTTATTTTGTTTGTTTTATTTCTGTCCTCTTGAAATTCCGTTCGCTTATTTGTGGCTTATTTTGCACTCCCGCAAACCTCAAGCGATCGAAATCTAATCCCCTTTTATGTGCATTAGCACGAGACACATAAACCAGCTGGTCTGTCTTCTCCCTGTCCACCCCGTCCTAGTTTGACTCAAGCCACAATGACAGCGCACTCACATTCATAGGTGTCGTAGGACAACACCCTATCTATTCCGATGGACATTGAAACCACAGGTCAATGGTTATGTTTGGGAATTCCGAGAGTTGCTTGGCCATCATACCGTTCAGGGTCACACACACAAACACAAAAATGCTTTGTCTATTCCATCCTAAAAACACCAGTAATGAAAAAGCATCCACGTACAAGATATCTCTTATTTCAATACACGATTGTGTCAACAAAATCCTCATTGTGGTCCACCCCGCTAAATTGACTGATAGTTAAATGCCGATCATGGATGGAGTGGGTGGTTAGATTGCAAAAAGTATGCGTGGGTGCTGCGCTCAATCATTCCCGTTTGACTTTCGTGCATCCATGGATGTACACACGTCTGTCCTCGATGCTTGAAGTCGGTCTACCAGTGGTCTGGGTGAACACTTCCCCTAAGGCTTCTCGAACTCTGCCCCCCCCCCAACAAACACACTTACGTATGTTCTGGTCGATCCGCCTTCTTATTAACCAGTTGTATGCTATGATGCAACCTACCTAAGTTCACGTGTGGCAAACTCTGTTCAATGAAAGTCAACAATTTAAATTGTTCAGTTGATTCTATTTGAATGAAGTACACTGAACGTTTCCACCTGCCGCTCCATCTCGCTTACACTTTCAAAATATTCTTTCAATAATTGCCTATTTGTGTTTTGTTTATAGTTAACTTGGGCTATGGGACTTGCACTTATGAGAGTCAATGATTCGTGGTTGACTGCGCGCAGAACGGGAGTCACTGAGGGAGTCAACTTTTTTCCGATTGGCGTATGGGATTTGTGCGGTCTCAGACACTCAAGTGGCTGTCCACGCTACTGGCTGATTGGTTGAGCTAAACCTATGTACGAGCGCATCATGATTACGATTATGATAATATTGCACCTGATTGAATCCCGGAGTCTGTATGTGTGTGTGTTCGGGGATGCGTACCTCTCTTTCTCTCTGTGTGTATGTAAAGTGCTGACAGGATATGTCCGGTTCATTAAGGATCAGTTGTTATCACAGTATAAAAGGATGAGGCGCGAGGACTGATAACGAGACTATTGGTTTTTATTCGTTCGACTCAGTTCGGACAAACACGTGAGAAGGAGATTGAGAATGAATTGTTTGATCGCCACAATAAAGCTGGATCGGGTTTTACTCTTACTGATGCTTACATTACAAATGCTCACAATTCATTCGATGTCAATCAGCTCCGTTTCACCAGGTGGATTCAATCCGGCAGATTTTTCTGGTAAGCTTGCGATTTTTGTATTTCTCTCTCTTGACGGATATGCAGAACCGAAAAAGTGTAATAAAACGCAATATTATTTAGTAGTATATTGGTTTGATGTTTCAAATGTTGTGCACTCATAGAGTTCGAGTCGTGTAGTTTAACCCATGATGCATCCCAGAGTAGTTGTTAACTTCGGATAGCTGCTAAACCAGTGTAAGATAGTTCGCTAGACGCGAAAAAATAAATTAGATGCAATAATTTGTTTTATCATTTAGTTAATTAACTTTACCTGTACAACTGTCTCCAGCTCCTCTCCTATATTTAGGGCTAGGGACTTTTCGCCGAATTTAGAGTTTATCGAGAAAAGTAATTGTTAAATTTTATCTCGGAATCTGATAAAGAAACATTTCAGTGTCCATTTAATGTGGATCTTCTGTATTATTCGTCCAGTGTACGAAGTGTCTATCAAACAGCACTATATAACTGTTTTGTCTCCGTCAAGATTCGTCATTGATGCGTTATCTTTCTGTTTCGAGTTGGCACTCAAGCAGTGAGCTTTGAGCTTCATAACCAAAACGCCTCAGGTACATAAACATAGCCCCTATAATTTGAGTGAATTGTCGCACAAGACTCTTGATTTTTCGGACATCGCGATATGCTTGTGATTTTTGTGCAGTTCAGGGGTGAGTTACGCCCGTCGATATTTCCGTTAGTTCCCTTACACTGGTGATCGTGGAATACGCACCCGGGGCATAAGAATGCTAATTCAAGTGATTAATGCGTCTAAAATCGAATGGGATAATCTTTCCATCACTTCCTTATTTTAAGTATCATTCAATTTTATTCATTGATCATTATCAACTAATAATCTAAAGTCACACAGAATAGATAGGAGAAGTGAAATTGAATTAACTAACCACTTCCACTGCCGACTAGCAGTTGTTGAATCAGCAAAGCAAGCGGACTCAAACACCTGATGATCACCCGTAAAGGTGCATTCAAATTATTCGGATCAGTAAGCGGTTTTTGTTCTTGTTTTTATTTCAGTAGAGACAAAAAGGCTGTGAAAAACGTGTTTTCTATTCCGATTTGTTGAATAATTCAGTCAATAGGGAAAGATTCTTTCTGGTCACACAATCACTGTTGCCCTCAGTAAATGTGCATCCTATTTTTCTCGGGTACAAACAAGTAAGTGAAAGCGGAAACAAAAATATTTAAATTTTCGAAAAGACACGGGCCAACTGAGGGAGAGGGGCAGGGAGAGGTTCGAAGTAGGAACGAGTAAGTGGATTAGAAAGCACGGTGAGGGTGTTGTTGTGCAAAAATTGTCCGCATTAGGTAAAAGGTGTTTGGTAAATTCGTACTCATAACCACTGAAGATCTTTTCATTGCATGCGATTCACTGCGAGACAGCGTTTGTGTCATTTTGCTTTTCTGATTCCCTGGTAGTTCATTCGTTCTCCAGCTTTGTGATGTAAGTCGAAGTACGCTGCGTATAGGTCAACAGCGGGGGAGGGGGCATTGAGCAGCTGTTCCCATACCAATTTCACAAACACAAGCTCTGCACAGTACATGCTGGTAATTAGGTTGAATGAAATAGTTACTCAGTGCTTTTTGTTGGCATTCACACAAAACCCTTCTATATTAGTCACAAGCACTGAATTTGAATGGTTATATTGATCACCACAGACAGGTCAATAAGACACACCCATTGTTCCTTGGGGGCGATTGTGTTCTACTCAGCTGTACAAAGAATTTTTAGTCTGAAACTGAGCGGGCTTAAGACAGATCATTGAATGAGATCGACAAATGAAATTCACTCCGCTCCACATAAGCTATTATTGTCCTGTACACTGATGCCGTGTGATCAACTGGCATTCACAACCGGTTCCCTTCACACATAAGGTTCCCCTAACAATTAGGCAACATGCGTTCTATCTGTGACTGAGTACGATAACAACAGTTGTAGTAATAGGATTTTGTAGAAGAGGATTGGATCGAAAACCATAACGGAGCTCAGTCATCTTTATGCAGAGGGGGAACAGAATAAAAACCATTATCATAACTCAGTATGGGACAACTCGACTGTTACTGTTTTGGAACTAGACACAAATTCTCGATTCAACGTCCGTGATCAACTCTAGACGACCTGTTTATCTAATCCACATGAAGATTGGGCCTGTATTTAGTCTCATCTTTAATACCAACGATTCGTGTGGACTCGGTCTGAACCAAACTTTACTAACGTTTTTCACCCAATTAAGATCATTTGCATAAACCTCCCATATGACGGATTTAAAAGCTGTTCGATTGCCCCATTATCGGTACTCTCAGAGCCCGGTGAACTATATTACTACAATGCGGTTGATCAGTGACCGGCAACTGATCCTTTTAGTCTATAAATAGACTTCGACCTATACAGGACAAAACATTTACTCAAGATGTGATGGGTAGTTAAGTGGAAGGTAAAACTATCTCCTCTAATGGAAATGCTCGGGAAGATTAAATGCTGACAGTCAAACGGCGGTTTTGATCAGACCGAAGTGATTAGTCAAACAATAATCGCGACAATAGCGTATCTGTGCCCGCCTGCCAAACTGGTTCCTTTTCCAATACATGTAATAAATGGCATTGCTTTCCGGGGAGCGTAATCAGGCCTTGCTTTCTTGTTGCTCAAAATACGTACATATATATAGCACCAGCTTAATCGACGAAAATAGACCATCTGATGGCCGACAATTTATGAGAACAAATGCATGTATTCGCTTGTCTCAGCCATATTGTGTCTATTGCGCAACTATCGAATGAAGGCGAAAAATAACAGACAAATTTCTTAACTTTCATCAAAAATTATCCGAGTACAGTGATTATTACTTTTTGAAATTTGTTGATAGTCGTCAATTCCAAATTGGATTAAGATATGTATATTAAAATATGAGGTCAAATCTGTTCACCTGTCTGTTTCTTTATCTTCAATTGACCATGAGTGAATCATTTGAGTCAATGAAATATTCTATCTGATAAACGAGTGATTCAAATACATAAACAAAGGTATTCCTTTGTGATTGATGACTAAACTCATCTCGTTTTTATCTTATGACATTAAGCCGATTCATTACACCAAGCATTTGTGCGTTCCAACGCTCACAACTGCGTGGGAATAAAAAGCCCATACACCTCAAAATCAGAATACAAGATCAATCGATTATTGACTTGAGTCTCACAAATGGGAGAAAACTAAAAAGCTATTAAATTTTCAAGTTGTATTTTCACACCGGATTATGAATGGCTTTGTTTCCGATGTGGTTTGTGACCAAAAAATCCATTACTAGAAGCTATTTTATCCGATAGCTAGTCCGGTGGGCAATGGCCATTTTGGTACTGCCCACGCAATGTTTGATTTTTTTCAAACGGGAATTTGTTGACCATTAGTGTATCCGAAGAGAGCTATCAAGTAAACGGGTTACAATGCCATCGTTTGAGCTTGAGTCGTTGCGTAAAATTAGTGAAACAATAGGTAAACATAAAATCGATTTTTAGGGCCAAACGAATTGTGACTTTATAAATGAAAATATCTGTATCCATTACCAGGCGCGTTTAAAGCCAGTGGAGTATCCCAAAAGGTTAACCTGGTTTTATATTAGTATCAGAATTCAAACTAGTCCGTTTGTAACGCACACACACACACACGTAGGCTCACCAGACCAGCTATTGGGATTTCTGTGTGTAGCAAAAAATATTACCTATCAGGTGTATACTTGAGGCCGCTACGCAGGCGCGGAGGAACTTGAATCGATTTGCTAGTTATTGTAGCTGTGCCCGGTGTATATCTGCCGTCAAAGTTCATGGTCTTGTTCAAAGCGTATGGGCCTAACTTCCATGGTAAAATATTCTCGTGTCGCACGGGCAAAGATTACGCATAGCCCAGTGAATTAGAAGGTAAAATTTACTGTGTTGGTGTTGATGAAGTCTCTGAGCTACAAGTATTGCACATAATTTCCAAAAGATACAGTGATTCAAAGTCTCCAACGTTTCGGTTTCTGATTTACTCAGTTCTCGAGATGGTAAAATTCGCCTCTGATATTCATCTTTCTGAGACAGTTACCATTCTCAAGTGTTTTATTTGAAGAGCACGGTACAACAGATCAGATGGCTGACAAGTTTATCATCATGAATAGATACATAACTATGAAGTGAGGAGGAAGAAGCACCAACATATATAGTGCGAGAATTAGACTTGATGATGGAGCTAAAACACAAAATACGATAAGAAATATAATGCAGCACAAAAAGAAACAGCTTCTAAAAGGTCCTTTTTGAACGAAACTTTTAGGAAACGGAAACGGTGTAAGTTCGTGAGCTTAGGATGAATACATCTAAGTTGTTACCACTTTTCGAAGAATTCGAGGTCTTTATTAAACAGGAGAAGGTGGCGAATAGGTAGTTGATAGGCAAGTATGATATCAGCCGGTCCATAACGGCGCTTGATCTATCGGAGCCTTATATGGTTCACCATTCCCAGCCCCGAGACATAGGTAACCGGTTTCCGTCACTGATCAGCGCGTCTTCGCTATTATGAGATCCACCCCATCTGCGCTCATCACACAACTGTGTGTACTTAAAAAAACAATGAAACTATAAAGAAATCACTGTGAACCGCTTTTGTTTGGTCCTAACGACTCACATTGAAAAACCCAAACAGGGTTGTTATGTAACATCACTCAAGGAACTAGTGATGATAATTTTGGTCCGCAATGACCGCAAGGCATTGCAGAGGTTCTTTACCAAACGGGCCAAATAAGGGACCTGAAGAAAAGAACAGACGAATCGGAAACGTAGATGAAAAGCTGTGGAGTGATTGATCATTTGAAAAATAAAATTGGAGAGGCTCCTAATTAAGTACTTTGAATCAAGCATCAGAAGGAAATAATTGCACAACTAAAATCCCAGCGTTTTCAAATACTTTTGAAGGCGGCCACAAAAAAGTTTTCTGTGATTATGGTTCGATGACACAACTTAGTATATTTATTGAAACAAGATATCACTTCTAGAAAAAGAGAACAGAGATGCAGTTTTCCACTGCGAATGCAAGAATGCAGATAACATGGAATTTTCATGTGAATCTTGGTTTATAGTACTGAATGGAATCGAAAATACAGCACGTACGCCTAGGTGATTGTTATTCATGGACATGAAGAGTGACAGAGATAGAACTTGTCCACCTACACGTTTGTATTTTTACCCGTCAAGAATAAATGAAATATTGTGCGTTTGAAACACACACAAAAAACAAAGTGCATGATTTTATTCTATCAGCGTTTGATTTGCGATGTCATTTTGTATGATGCATCAATCGGAATACTGTTCCTTTGAGAACTTAAGACCCGACTAAAAGGTAATGACTTTACCTTCTTCGTCCTCAAAGTTATTACGCATACTCAAATTACCTCATCCGGTTCGGTTTCATCAAACTTGCAGACCCGGAATATATGGATCTGGGTGACAATCCAACGGATGCATTAGCTAAAACAAGTGAAGAGCTACAACGGAATTTGGAATTGAATCGTGCCCGTAACAAAGACGAAAATGTGTGGCACTTGTTGCACGAATTAGACCGGCGAACCCGACTGCTATCCAAATGGCACAATCTTCGAGCGCTGCGTTTCGGATAGAAAAAAGGACCGAAACAAAGCATTGTTTCGGTCCGATTTGCTTTTACCGACCGGGACCGGACTACGAGTGAGGAGCAGACTGTGAATCGGTCGACTGAGGTTTTGTTACGTGTTTGAGCAATTTCTGAAATAATGACCATGCTATAAACTAAAGCAAAGTAGAATGTGCTTTTTACACTGACGATCTTTTGCCTCCACCACAAGGGCTAGTGGCACCATCATATGCGAGTGTGATCGCGAAATAGACAAGTTGCACCAATTCAGTGCTACTGAGTTTAAAAACAGTTGCTTCGATACCCGGGGGTGATGTGAGTGAAATTGACGCCCATTTGAATAAAAAAACAGAGATAACTTCCGT